CTTGTTTCAAGCAGAGTTTTTCAATGAAAAATTTCTACGCTAGTGAATCTCTTCAAGACACAAGTCATATGTGGAACTCACAAGATGCATGACCAAGACCAGCCAAAATAAATACAAACCATATACTAAAGAAAGCAGAATGAACTGGACAACTTCTCATTGTTTACAGAGCAAGATCTGAAAATTACATTGAAAGTCACTTCATTGCTGCTTACAGCCAAGTATTTCTGAGACACGTTATTCAGTAATAATATAAATAAAATTATCATGACAGAATAGCTGAATTAGGAGAAAGTAAAGGGAACGAACTCGCAGCATCAATTAGTTCTAGCAGTTCTGTTTAGAAAAGTATGTTAGATCCTTTTACTAATGACAAGACTCTCAAATTTATCAAGTACCTTAAAGAAAGGAAAGCTAAAATGTATCAGCAATCAAAAATAAAGACCCCCTGTTGTAGAACATGTAGTTATCAAGCCTGGATGTCTAAGGTTATGCAACTCTGCTGACCATTTATGTCAGGCTTGTTCTGTCAGTCCATTCCTACTAACTGTAGTTTCCAATGACTATACAAACTTTTACAGTGACATGAAGAAATCATTAAGTTCCTCTACATAGTTTTTAAATTAGCAGACTGGGAGGGGAGAGACAGTACTAGTATTTCTGCTGAGACAGGGGACATCATGCATCTTGCCTAGTTAGATGGCTACTGCCAGTCAGCACCAGTGCACAAACAAGCAACTGATGGCAGGGTGCTGGGGCCATGGGTAAAACTTGAGATGTCAGCACTAGAAAGCACAAGCGAGTCAGTGGATTTACAGGGTGGGGATGAAGAAGCCAACGAACATAGGGAAACCTGAGGTACTGTGCAATTAGTGGCATCAAAGAATAGAAAGGGAGCTATGATTACTACCTATGATAGAAGTGTGGGGATATAGGACAAATCTCTTTTGCTTCATGATTTGTCTTAATTTTGCTAACATTTATGGTAATACAATCCAAAGTAGAAGTATTGCTTTGACATCACATTTTTTTTGCTAACCCAAACTGTTCAATCTTGTCTCAGACTCATGTTTTAAGTACTTAAAATTGGGTAAGCAACAGTTACTGTCCTAGGAGAACTCCACC